GGTTGTGTGATGGAGTAGGGTATGGGTTGTGTGATGGAGTAGGGTGTGGGTTGTGTGATGGAGTAGGGTGTGGGTTGTGTGATGGAGTAGGGTATGGGTTGTGTGATGGAGTAGGGTATGGGTTGTGTGATGGAGTAGGGTGTGGGTTGTGTGATGGAGTAGGGTGTGGGTTGTGTGATGGAGTAGGGTATGGGTTGTGTGATGGAGTAGGGTATGGGTTGTGTGATGGAGTAGGGTATGGGTTGTGTGATGGAGTAGGGTGTGGGTTGTGTGATGGAGTAGGGTATTGGTTGTGTGATGGAGTAGGGTATCCATTGTGTGATGGAGTGGGGTGTGTGATGGTGTGGTTGTGTGATGGAGTAGGGTATGGGTTGTGTGATGGAGTAGGGTGTGGGTTGTGTGATGGAGTAGGNTGAGTGGTGGGTCAGGGGATCACAGGTAACAGGTAATGTAATTCTCTGTTTTAGGTACACCATATAATGTAAGTGAATGTCAGATAACTATGATAAACTACAGAAAGTGAGCAAGCCTCATGATAACTTTTGAATTTTGTAAATATGGCATTAACTTTTTTTTTCTAAATTGAAAAGAAATATAGGGCTTCTTATTTACATGATATTATGTTCATAATTATGTAAACTATAGTGTCAAACTTTGTTATCGATAGTAAAGGTAGATAATAAAAGAATGGCATATATAACTCATAAAATATCAAATAGATATATATATACATAATGTAAATAACTAGATATTGATTTCTAGATGTTTTAGATCACCAGATCGATGTTGAAGCAGTTTTTACATTACCTCTGCATCCTTGGTAAGTGTAGCCATCAGCTTGTCCTTAGCACCCATCCCAATCTTTAGTGATAGGCCATCACTAATAAAGTCATTATCCTTAAACGTAGGTAAGTCTTTCGCCTGTGAAAAGATCAAGATATAATGTATCAAGATATACTGGGAAAGGATTAAATTCCTTGGGGCAGGGAAGACATCAAGCCAAGGACATTAATGTATTTCTTTCTTCCTGTCCAACAATTTCATACATGATTATAGGAGGAAGATTTTAAATCTTTCAAAGTTATGCAAGTCTTCAGGGATAAGGGCAGACCCCAAGTTAACCCTAGTAGAAAGAGACTAATCAGCTCTTCAAGCCTAGAAAATGTACATATGGTTATAGGGTGGGGACTTCAACTAATTCCAGGTTATGACCCAGGGAATAAGTCCCATTGGGTGGGGCTGGATATCAGGGCAAAACTTTGTAGCATGAGTGTATTCAACTTTTCATTCCTACCAATAGACTAGATGGACATTACATATGTATTATTTTTTGACATGGTCTTTTAAGTAATTCCAGAGAAATAGTGGTTACAATTTCTAGAAGGCTGCCTGCAGCTGGTGGCCTTTAGCCATTTCCAATCAAACGGGAAATACACAGGTGACTTAGTAAGAGTGGGTGCAAAACTTGTTGTGGAACATCACAAAATTTGAACGAAAAATGTAGTTACTGTAACAATTATCTGTACAAGATTTGACTAATATTTTTGTAAAAGGGGCGTTATATAACTCCCATGAAAATAAAACTGCAGACTGGATTTTCATAAATCATGGAAGGGAAACAATTAGGAGCACATACGTAACAGTTTGATTCCAATGAAATCCTACCTTTTCCTTATCACTGGCATGACGGTCAACTGTTGATCCCTATAAATTAAACAGCACATAGTTTAACATGTGCACGACAAGAAATTTCATCAAAATCTACACATTTAAAAGACAGTTATCCAGATCTAGAGAAAGCAATTTAGAATCAATACGTATCTACAGTTCATCCTAGTTTCAGATATTTTTTTAGTATTTCCTATAACTATTATTTAAGGGTTAGCTAGAAACATTTTCAAGCTAAGACATGGATAAGCATTAAAATATACGATAATGACTAGTAAAATTTGTCATGAAAAATTTGGTAAACCTTTTATTTAAATGATCTTCTAACATTATATATTATTGTTAAACCAAATGGCTTATACCAACATGCTGTGGCCTAGAAGACCAGTCACCTGTATCACTCACTTGAATATATAAAGCAAACAATTTTGACCCTGAGAGTAAATAAAATCCAAAGTGCACAACTACCTAAAGTACCAATCATTGGTACCAAGTTTCATAATTATTGGATGAGAAATTAAGCATTGCTCTGGACACACTTTTACCCCTGTACCTTAAAAGCATGCTAGGTTATTCATCCGAGGAAACTTAACTCCATCCAAGGTACTAACTGGCCAATTAACACAACCCTGGGTTTCTTGGAACTTCAGAAGAAGTTCTTAAATATTTTTACCCATTATAGCCTCTGCCAACATTTGACCATACTGCCTTCAAGTAAAGTTGGCCTTTGAATAGAATACAGCAAAATATCATGACCATGGGTCAGTTTTCAAGAAGACAGACATTGGCAGCTGCACCATATAATAAGTTTCATCATTTCCTGGCAGGTGAGTAGCTGAAGGTTATACTACAGGGACTACTGACTCTGACCAACCTTGAGGTCATATTTCTTGTGGATGACCAGCCGGGGACTGAACACATTCCTCATCACAATCAGGTAGGTCTCAACATCATTGACAGTGATCCGGTACATGCCGAGGTATTGAGGCAGTAAAGTCTGGGCATGAGTCTCTACAATGTACTGTCAAATAAACACCAGTTAAATACCTTCAGAAATGTAGTTTACAATAGTTGATCTTCTTAGAGTATATCTATTGAAAGTGTTGAATTACAAAAACAAACAAAACCTTCAAGCTACATCAATCCAGAGATCACTAATCTTATCACCTAGTTATATAGTTAAGTGTTTTAGGAGACAGGTCCGCAGTTTCAGTACAATATTGTCATGTTAACACAGTGCTCTCATGATCATAATGCGGCCACTTTTCTGAGAACACAGCAGGATGAATTATTGAGGCACCACTGTCGAGGGGTTAAAACAAGATGCCTATGGGCAGTAATATATCAAATTCCCCTTTTTAATCCAATAATAATACAAGAAATAACAGCTCAGATAATGTAACAGAGACTAAGTCCCCAGGTGCAGTCAAAACCCAAGGAACAGTCCTAGTAGCATTATAAGTGTAAGTGTATTAATTTCTACATGCCCAGCAACTGTATACATGTTTCTAAACATTCAAAAAGAACTCTTCATAGTTGACTGTTTATATGGTACATTTGTATATGGGAAAGGGATCTTATCTTTTTTTCACAGTATTAACCATTAAGTAAGTCTTTAGAGGCGAGGCAAGACCACAGCACTGATCACAGTAGCATGAGTGTATTTGTCCCTTCATGCTTGTATCTCATGACGTAACTCACAAGTGCATTTCAAACTGAGAAAATAAATAAAAGTACCTTGAACTAATGCAGAATAGCATTCATACTGCAACCAGGTACTCTTATCAAGCTTTAAAATCCAAAAATTTGTATTGATGCATTAAATATTTATATCAAACATGAATATTTTGTATTTTCTAGTATACAACTTATCTACACATAGTTTAGTGAAATGTCCCTACACTGGACAGGAGCGTGTTTGTTACCCCACACTGGACAGGAGCGTGTTTGTAACCCCACACTGGACAGGAGCGTGTTTGTTACCCCACACTGGACAGGAGCGTGTTTGTTACCCCACACTGGACAGGAGTGTGTTTATTACCCCACACTGGACAGGAGCGTGTTATTACCTCACACTGGACAGGAGCGTGTTTATTACCCCACACTGGACAGGAGCGTGTTATTACCCCACACTGGACAGGAGCCTGTTTATTACCCCACACTGGACAGGAGCGTGTTTATTACCTGGTGGTACTGTTTGAGTAGATGATGCATCTGCTCCACTTCCTCACTGACTAGTGTTTTCACAAAGAACTTTTTATCCTGAGACATCAACATACGGGCCCCACTCCTACCTGGGGAGTCCACATCAACTGCCTGCTTGGTTAAGGAATTCTGAAGAGATAAATAATGATATATACATTGGAAAATTGCTGCCTGTTTATTAAATAATATTACGTCTCCTAGTTTTATAAGATTTTAATACATTTATATCATCAATCACCTATGCATACATACCGGTACATGTAACTTGGAGGCTAATATAATAAGAAACACTAAATCAAGCAATGATAGATTAACAATTTCTATATCATTAGTAAATGAATATTATGGTTTTCAATTTTTTTTACCTAAATTTTATTTCTACACCATCATCAATTTCGAAATGCCTTACCATGTAATCTTGGTCATCAATTCCAAATCTCTCTCGAAGGTTCCTGAACACAACTGGGCAGTATTCCTTTACTTTGAAATGACTTGGCATACTTTCTCTGCACAAAAACAATCAAGAAATTGTTTACAACATCAAAATACTTAAGCATTCAGATATAGCAGGATTCTTAAAGTTTGTGATTTGAAGCCTGTTTCATATTATAATTCAGGTATCATTGAGTTAAACAATTTTTTTATTTCTGAAAAGTTGTTTTTTCAAGATTTCAACAGAAATGCAACAAATAGCCATGCAAGAGTGCATGTGCGCATGCATATATCACTTTTTTGGATCATTTAAACAAATATAGCCGAATGTTTTAATTGAAAGGAATATTGTAATAATTTTCCCCATTTTTGCCTATACCTCGAGCTTTGATCAACTGTTAAGGATCATGTCCAAGGACCAAAAATTAAATAACCCTTTATAGGCCAGCTGTTTCTCAGTCCCAAATGTAAGCTACATGTATGCCCTTTTTTCATATCATTACATTAATAGATTCCAAAGTTCAACAGACCAACGATGCTATATTTGGTCTTGATTCATATAGAAGTGTATATATGGTTTTATATAAGTACAAGATGTAATAGGTGGGGATTGCATAATCAATTGTATCCTTGTTACACAATTGTATCCTTGTTACACAATTGTATCCTGGTTACACAATTGTATCCTTGTTACACAATTGTATCCTTGTTACATAATTGTATCCTTGTTACACAATTGTATCCTTGTTACACAATTGTATCCTTGTCACACAATTGTATCCTTGTTACACAATTGTATCCTTGTTACACAATTGTATCCTTGTTACACAATTGTAACAATGTTTGAACCTTGGAACAGAGTCTGACCCTGGATCTTATCTTGGTAGCTGATTGAGTTTGTCTTCACATATCCAGCAAGCTAATTATATAACTGACCCAAATACTAAGTTCTCAGTCGGGGACAGGTCTGACACAGGTTACCAGAAGCTTCTATACATGTACATTATTTCAACAGGAGAGTATTTGTCTTTTCATGACCAGTATATATATATATATATATACACAGTTATCAGATCTGGCTCTCAACCATTTCCATATAAGGCCAGGTTTTACTTATGCTCAGACCACAGGGTTGGGGTTAATCCTTCACTTGATATTAGAACATACAGAATGTATATATGTTACCTGGTATACAAGTCACTGGACATGTTATCCCCCTATTTTACCGTATTTTACTGAACGCCCATGAGATGGTACAAGTTATCCCCCTTTATATAATACTTGCTTGTTGTAAGAATGATTGTCCAATCGTTGTAAGAACTGGACGCCTTAGAGATGGTACAAGTTATCCCCCTTTATATAATACTTACTTGTAAGAATGACTGTCCACTCATATTTTACTGATAGCCTTAGAGATGGTTCAAGTTATCCCCCTTTATTTAATACTTACTTGTTGTAAGAATGATTGCCCACTCGTTGTAAGAACCGATAGCCGGCTTAGAGATGGTACAAGTTATCCCCCTTCATATAATACTTACTTGTTGTAAGAATGATTGTCCTCTCATATTTAACTGATAGCCTTAAAAATGGTACAAGTTATCCCCCTTTATATAATACTTACTTGTTGTAAGAATGATTGTCCACTCGTATTTTACTGAACGCCTTGAAATCGTCAGGCATTAACATCACAGGAAGGTTCACATGGTTCAAGCCATTTATCTGGAAAGAAAACAAACAAGAAAAAAATAACAATCTATTTCCAACCCTAGTATATTAAACAGACCATATCTAATTAACTTCTTTGTATATATACGTGTTTAAAGGAGCGGATCGCTCCGAAAATTTGACAACCTAAACTTGTCCACACTGTTGGAATTACTTCTTTGACCTATATAATATTTTATGTAATTTGTATCCTAAGGACATACCTCCATTAGGATCCAGTGTTATATGGAATTTTACCGTCTATATCAATTCTTTGACCTATACGTGTTTATATATACATGCATATGCATTTTGTATACACATGTACAATGTATATAAGTGGTATTTGTAGATTTTTTTAGGCCAGTCCTGAACAACGTTTTCAAAATTTGACGAGACCGATATGCACACTAATACTGTACTAAGAGATTTGAGTTGATGAGTCCAAAACGGAAGCATGAGTAAAGGACTCAGACATTTGAGTCCCTATATATAGCTAGCTAGCTATATATAGGTACCTGTGAAGATAGCGTCTATGAAACCTTATCACACCCATGGTAATTGGCTCACCCATAACTGAAGTAATCCATTCAGGTTTGCAGAAGTATTTGTTAAAGAAAGTTAACAGCTAATAGCATGCACAGCATTGCATGTATACAAAACCAAAGCACTGTCATAAATAATTACCAATACATTTACAAAATGTAACATGTTGATCCAATATATCAAAGCCACTCGTTGGTTGCAGTTTCATGCTATTATATAACTGATACATGTACAATCTGAAGCAGTCTCTCTGTTTATGAAAACAGTTAACCCAAGTCCTAGATACAGAAATCAATAATACATCAACAAACTTTCTGGTAATGGAATATATAATTGATGCGTGCATGCATGACTTAGGGAAAACACTGGACTATAATGTAATAAATAAACCGAACATTTTTTTCCTGGAGATTTTTGATGAAGAGTTTTGTTGTCACTTGACCCTACAGTATACTATGGAGTCTTATTAACCCCTACATATACTGATGTAATACTCTAGAAACTTGAGCTCATTCCATTAGATATACACATATAAGACCACAAGGACAATGAAATGACATATTAAACAGCAATTTAGTTCCAAACGCATTAGTTTTATGTGCCTTGCCCGGTGTTATAGTAACGTTAACCTCAACAGTAAATATTCATGGTTTCCTCTACTCTCGTTCTGACAATTCCAGCGGTTATATATATATATATATATATATCCTCTCTTACGTTTGATTCCTGCACCCCTAGAATATGTTGTGACGAAATCATGGGTTCTGTACATTTATATGTATCACAGTGCACATTGAGCTTGTCAATACAACAATAGACTACATTTGTAGTTTGATCCCTTCATTTGATCTTCATCAAAAGAACTATCAGCTTTGAAGTCAAATGGCCATGGCTCCCTTGGCTGTAAAGTTCAAAGTACAGGTATATATCAGCCTAGTGTTTCACTCCTTGATCATTTTATTTTTTTAATGGAAATCAATATATATAAAGCTAAGTTTCAGGTGTTTATGGCTTTAACTTTAACATATACACACAAATATATATTCCTGGAGTGCATAGAACATGTATCTGTAAGTAATCATATGTGTATACATATATACCCATTGGAAAAGAGTGAGTCAGCAGACAATCATGAGACTTGGAAACCTGACTGGCGGACTATACTAGCTCGCCGACTTATATACCCAAAAACACAACAATTTGCATGTGCAATATTTGCCCCAGAAATACCCGGAACACTTTCCCTCTAAAGTAAATAAAATAGTTCCGAAAATACACAGAAGCTTCCGGTACAGAACCAAAACATGCAGACGAAGTTCGGTAAGCAATGCAAATAGCCTACAGAGTTAACGGTGTACTCAAAACATTTAGTTTAATTTACAAATATTTCCCAAATTTTACACTATAATAAAAGCATGCACATATATCACTTCAAATTCATGCATGAGGCATCACATTTTAATGAAGTTCACCATAAAAGACTGTCCATATAAAGAAAAAATAAATATTCATGCACAGAATATTATGATTTGCCAGATATTATGACATTGGCTGTACATGCATAAATATTAGGGCTGCAGTGATATATATATCATGCGACAATATATTGCGATATTTTGAATATGGTACGATACTAAATATTTTTTGAGAGGTTACGATACACCTACAATATTTTCAGGATTTCGTTGTTTCTAAATTTAGTCTACTCCTATATGGGATCCAACATTAACATGGCAGGTGACAGCTCCTTCTCTGATCTGTATGCACAGTATCCTGATACATATCGTTTATGTTAATGTATCCTTGCGGCCCTTATAATATAATGCTATCACAGCCAATATTTACTCAGATCGCTGTCCTGCTGTTCATTACTTTCTGGTTTTAGAGATATCTGTATAGGTTGATGTTATTGTGAAAATTACATTTCCAGTGTAAGCTGTTCCACGAGTTCACAATTCTGACTAGAAGAAGTGTATTTTTCTCTTGTTATTTATGGGATTTTTTACAGACCACTTGTCCTACTGTTTATATACAACCCGGTCACATTTGTCTTGGCATGTTGGAACAGAACAGGAAGTATCTAGAAAATCACATCTAAACTTAAGTCCAATACACAGACAGTCATGTCGTGACAGTCACACAGGCTATTTCTTGCTAGAAATAGTGTTATTCACTCTTATAATGGGACTGAAATATTCTAAAACAATGTTCATGACTCGCCGACTCACCTGAAAAAGAATCTCGAAAAACAATGTTATAATTTACTAAGTTTTAATATGCAGAAGAAAGGGGGGCGTCTAAATACCTAATACTACCCCACATACTAGTTAGTAGTTACTACCCAATACGACCCAGTTATGTACCCAATACTACTTAAATACTGTGAAATATCACCTTGGAAGAAGTAATTTACCCAGTGCAGATATCATATTAATTACTTATCTTCAGTTTACATTTCTTTACCGTTTAATCGTATTACACCAGCTTATTGTTGTTTTGGGTAGTATTGGGTCTGCACCAAATCGCTTATTTTACGATAAAACATGGCAAATAGTAGTAAATACCTTCTCCAAAGGCGATATTTCACAGTATTGAAGTAGTGTTGGGTATTAAGACGTGCCGGAAGAAAGTGTCAATAAACCATACAGTACAAACCGGAAATGATATTTTCCTGTGTAATGATCATAAAATCATCAAACATGCAGCTCAATCTTTAAATTTTATGTTAATTGCAAACCTTATATGGACATAATTTAAACAAAAAGCATAATTTTGGGTTGTTTTGAACGCATACCGTATGGTTAATCCCCCACATGAAGACACTTAGTAGAGGCTCTGATGCTCGGAAGAGTTTGACTTTTTGTGACACAGGATTCACTTTTCGAATCCTCTCTTTCTTGAGCTTATCCATTTTTGATGAATCGCGTAGCTAAATAATCACAATCTGGAAGGTATTGTCAAGATGACAGAATATAAAGAAGTCCACACATCTTTAAAATCAGTTCAATGTAGACAGGCCATCATCGATGCAACACCTCTCAACATCCAAGATGGCGACGAAAACAAATATCCCAACAGGGGTGCGTCTAATTACCCAATACTACCCAATACCACCCAATACTACCCAAAACCACCCAATACTACCCAATACTACCCCATACGATCCAGTTATGAACCAAATACTTCTTTATTACTGTGAAATATCACCTTTGTAGACGTTATTTACTTCCATCTGCCATATTTTATCGGGAAATATGCGATTTGGTGCCGAAAACATCACCGAATTGCCGTGACTATGACCC